AGCAAACACAATTGTGGCAATTAAGGTTGTCACAACCATGCAAGAAGTTGCTGTGTCCGTCATTCACCTTTCACCAGTTTCCCTTAACTTCTCGTGCTCATTCGTAAATAACTTCCTAGATGTTTTGCCCTCTTTGTTTTTCTCCTGAACTATAGAAAGATATACAATATTCTTCACCACCTATAAAGATTACTCAAATTAATGTATATTGCATAATCATCCAAAATTTAACTTGAACATGAGGAATTAATTTTTGTATTCGTAGAGTAGTAGATTGGAGACTTCTATGAACGTCGATATATATTCACATATATATACAAGAAATGATACAATTCATCGTCGTGCTATAAAATTTCTCTCTTCTCTTCGAGGGAAAAAAGAAAGGGGATTTCGTAGTTATGTTATTTTCTCACCTTAAACCACAATAGCTCTCTCTACATTTGAATAGTTGCTCCAGTTATACTATTGAGCTTGCTTGCAGGTGCTAATTTTGTAGCAAAGTGCAAAATGTTATTATTGGAATCATCTTTATTGTACAACAATGCATCTTTAATACCCCTTGAGTTGTAGATGAGACTAAAGACTCTCTCTTGTCGGTTAATAACAGCAGCATGAATTATGGAGTATTTATCTTTAAATGAGTCGAATACCCATATAAGATCAGGATATGATTGAATTAGCGGAGTCAAAAACTCAACATTCCCAATTTTTGCAGCAGCATCGAGTATTGGAGTATACGTGAATAAATCTAAAATTTCCTTGTCCTCTAACGTCAGAATCTGTTCCCAGAGCTCCTCTACCAACTGACTGACTTGTCTCCGCTTTTGAATTGAACCATATATCCTTTCTGAAACCTACACATCTTTCCTAAATTATTTTTAAAATTCATGTTAACTACGGAGCTAAAAATTCGAAAAAAAAAATCTATGGAAAAAGTGAAATAAATCTATATATTGATCATTCACACATAAAGCCCAGACTTTAAACTAGTATTTGCTATGAGTAACTTCGAAAAAGTAGATAATTTATATTCTGATAATTTTGTGATTGTATCCTGTCGGTTTCCCACCTCCATTGCCCTCTTCCCACCTCCACTGCCCTCTTCAACATAGACTTTGTGTTGGAACAATCGTGATAAACGAATGCAAACGGAGAAACGAAGGTGAGACAAACGGGAGTTCAAGGGTATGCTTTGCTTTCCATTGTTCGTTGTACTGGAGAAGAAAGAGGAGGCAAAAAGCAAAGGAATAAAGGGAAGTTTGAAGATAATATTTCGTGAACAGTAATTAAACCAGTTTCAATGTGAAATAGAGGGTGCATAAATGAATAGTGTTTGGCCCATCCTCTCTTTTATAGGAGTAGTGATGATTATTTATTAAACAAACTTCCTTCACCATCGCCAAAACATAACGTGTGACAAGTACAAGCCTCATTTAATGAACAAAAAGAGAAAAATGTGCTCAAATTGAGTTTCAAAATCCCTAAATATAATCTAAACTAATGTGAGATTTCACAAGGTGCGTGAAATGTTCTTCCACGGCAAATAGCTTCAAGGTTTTCTCCAGCATATGAACAAAGTGGTGAAACTTCCACACCTGATTCAATATAAACAAACGCTTATTTTAGATTAAGAAAAAATTCGATTTGTTTCTTCTATATTCCATCCAGATTTAATACATAGCCTGGCAATTAATCAAAGCATTATTTCTCTAAGTTACGAGTGCAAAAAAATACTTTACCAGTAGCATATAAGGGCACTGAATGTGTCAAGAAGCCACCTGCAGCAACCACCCAACGAGCATGTAGACGAAGGACAAGCAGACGAGCACTGTCTGGAGTATCGAAATTTGACCCATTGGCATTTTTCACCGGTGCAAATTCTTCTTCACGCAGTACCTATAATGAAAAAAATCCGTCCAAAAGTCCTTTCAGTGCCATGTATGAATCTATTCCTTCAATACAATGTATTTAGGACAGTTTCTAGCATTCTAGCAATAATTGTTACCTCAAAAAGAGCAGTTGATGGAGCGTAAGGAAATGCATCAAATATAAATTGTTCGAGTTTATATCCTACTGTATGTCCATGAACTGAAGGAATTTTCTTCTCTGCTAGATGATAGCTGCAATCATAAAGCAAAGCTTTCTATATCAAATCCTGATGACGGTGGTACAAGCAATAGCAAGTCTAAATTATTAGGTAACATTTGACAAAATTTACTGATGCAGTAAGAAAAAAAGGGGAAAAAATAACTTTCTAATGTAAAAATGTTGATGAGGAAAAGTTAGATGAAGTTCAAGTACAGGACTAATAATTTAAAGCTCAACAATAATTAGAGAAAATGATACAATTTTTTCTAAACATAAGGATATCTGATCTCTAAATTATCTGTGAAGATTTAAGTGAAACATATTGTCACAGTACTCAAAATCTGCCTTCTTAAAATATAAATATGAAATTGATCAAAAAACTGTTTAGATGAAATTAATGAAACACTTATGTAGAGAGAGGGAGAGAGAGAACGTTACTGACATGCTGTCTTTCTCGAGACCATTTGCTACTTGGTTTAGAAAATCCAACGTGAACATATGTAGGCATACCTGAAACGCAGAAGGCAATATTTTTTGTTCAAAATATATCAAATGAATGGAAGCATTTATTTATTNTGTAACTAAGTAAATGAATGGAAGCATTTATTTATTCAATTTCTAGACTCAATTGCAGACGAATGGCTCTATTCCTATTTGATAAGCAACGACAAGCAATAGAAAGCTAATCCAAATAGAAGTGGAAATGAGATGAAAAATGGCCAAATTAAATTAAATGTTGCCCTTCATAGTTGTAGCACTAAACCATCTATAAACTGCTGACTAATATGAAACTAAAATGCAAGTAGACTCTTCCATGTTTAAACCGGGCATAAAGAAGCAGTCAAGAAAATCAATATATAGATTACTCAAGCATGAGATTTATATTTTCAGTTCATTTAGTGTTTGGATTTCACCATTTCATCATTTTGATTTTTACTTTAAAGATAATAAAAAGGAAAAAATTGATTTTTAGCATTAATGGAGAGGTTAAGCTAATGAGGCAAGTTTGAATTGTAAGCAGTATGTCTGAATACAAAATCATGACATTTGCAAAAAAAAGGATTAAGTACACTGCCTCGATAAAATTTGAACTAACTCATGTATGCTTCTACAAGTCTTGTCTGTTTCCCCTTTGAGATGAATCTTCGACCCTAAAATAATATAAAAACTTTCAATCATGCAACATTTAACACGCAAAGCAGCTTATAAAACTCTAGAAGTCCCCTTCCAAAAAAAAACTCAAGTCATCAGCAGAAATAGTGTCTCAAACGTATGGACTGATTTTAAACAGATAATAAGCAAGGTAACAATAAAAGGAACAAAGTGAGAAAAAACAATACATTACTCCAACAAAAACGAAGACGACCAGTTTGCTGATTTATCGCACTGGCCAACGAGGGGTCTAATTCATTGTATTCAACCACAGAAAGCGGTCCATCTTTACCTCGCCTTACAAAAACACCAACCTTCTCTTGTGGATATGCCTATAATGTAAATCAACAATGACATTAGAATTCAAGTATTTGACCCACTGAAAATTTAAGTTTACATATGCTTATAAAGAAAAATAATCATGAAATTAGAAAAGAAATGGAAACTACATTCACGTTTTTCATGTCATGCCCACGACAGTGAACAAGAGCCTTACAATAATTAAACACAAAAATATGGAAGTTATATGTTGCATTGCTGCGACCTGATTCAATTGCAGCAAAAAATCCTGGTGCAGTTGAAAAGCAGGCATAATAAGTTTGCATGATTGAATCTGACAATAACAAATTTATTCACCTTCCGGACCACTTTTGCAGCAGCAGTGGCACCTTTATCAATGAAATAACCCAAAAAAGTTGGATCAGCAACACGTACCTGTTTCAAGAACATTTCTTTATATTTCTGAATATATTTCAAGAAAAGATAAACACAAAAATGGCAAAATGCTAACAAACATAAGAAACAGCTCACCAAAGCATTGTCAACTCCATAGCAATCTAAGAATTTAATGCCTCTCATAGACATATCTTCCAGCAACCTTGAAGATTTCAAAGCTGAAAATAGAATATTTTCTATTGAAATTAAGGAAGTAATAATTACAAAAACAAAAAAACATGTTTACACTAATCAATGCATCAATGCAATGCACTTAATATTGATTTAGCCTACCTGAATAAACTCCACCATTTCCATCAGGAGACTTTGCAACCTGGCCTTGGAAAATTAGGTTCTCATTATGACCGCATATTAAAAAGTGTACGCATAGTCCAAAACAAGTATAGAACAAAATAAAGAAAGGCATGAATAACATTCTTCTGTGACAGCCTTACAGACTTAAATATAAGCTGAATTAGAAATATTCCTATAAGATAGTAATCAGAAGAGATGCTGGCTGTTGTGTTTCTGTCTTAACACTTGTTTGGGAAGTGTTTATAAACGATTTAAATTATAAATAGATAGAAATAAGTGGTGGATAAGTGGGTAGTATTAGTGGGTCATATGCATGGATAAAAAGTGGCCTTGAGAGTTTGTAAACTGTATAAACATGAGCCAAACATAGGCTTAGTCTCAGCATGTTTTAATTTTCCATAAGCATAACTTTTGATACATATTTTAAATATGAAAACAGAAATCTGTGTGCTTTAATGTCAATAGTATATTAGTTGAGGACTTGATAATCTTCTATGCTTCATAACTATATCTAACAGCTTTGTATAACCTCTGCCAATTTAAATATCAATTAAGAATTTAACAAGCTCCAGGAAAATCATATGGTCGCCAATTAAATTTGCATAACCAAGACCAAACCCTACTCTGTATGGAGTCTCCATGATAAATCTTCCGTCCTTAGAGACACAAGGTATTGTTCCCTGCTGGAAGAAGGTGACCTACATTGAAAATTGTCTACTATGAGCCAAAAAAAGAAATAACAATGGAATCAAATAATAAAATAAGTATAAATTCTTACTTGATTTTGTTCAAGGCCAAAATATTTATGGCTTTCAAAGAATTTGCGGGTGGGTTCATCAGTGAAGGGGCTAGTCATTATGTACCAATGTATTGGCTTAAAACTTGTAGAACCTGTGTATCAAAGAATGATAAGTATTGCACTTTAAATGAAGTTGCCAATTAGGATTGTGCAGGATATAGAAGATGCAACTTACCCTCGTTGACTGATTGAGATGCTAATCTTTGGGCACACAATATTCGCTCAGCTTGCAGCTGGAAAAGTGATTTACCAGATGGAAGTTTGATATCTGAATTAAGATTAGAAAACTGACATAGTTAATAGAGTCCAATGCAAGGGGAACCTTACATTCATAGAGTACTATTATTACAATCAATACATGGTACAATCTTCAAAGTTCCAGATATTGGAAAGCAAATGCCTAAAAGAAAAATAAGTTCTTTCATCCATAAAATTTAATAATCACACCATTTAAAGAGGCCAAAACGGGTGAGGCACAAAATGAGAAACTGTCTTCATAAACCTTTGCATTAAAAAATCAATGGCGAAATCATTCAACTAGACAGCAAATGAAGAAACTAGTCTCGCGGAAGAATTTAGAAGAAAATGACAATTTTAAATGAGAATTTTTCACACTGTTTGGAAAGAAGGGTATGTGTTTATCTGCTTTGTTTCTTTACATTTTTCTCTTTTCTTTTGGGATAAAAGCCTAAGGTGACAGAGAACGAACTTGTTAAGATAAATACAAACGGGATTTACTTTAATGACCATAGATTTCACTGAATTGTCTCTCTCTCTATATATATAGTAATTACTTACTGAAACATCCTTTCGGATCTGAACTCCCCAGGCGCGTCCCCTGCATTTGAAACTCAATCATGAGGAATACATTCGCGAAGCAGTTAAACGAATAATTAGTTAAGTGCCACGATCCATCTCAAAATTGAGTACAATATTTAGATACGGGATAATAGATGATATGGGACAACAGTTTACTGAAGGTAAAAGTATAATAATATAGTTGCAACTTTCCGCATCCAAGCATATGACTAGGCAAGGATAAATATATCTCTAACTTGGTTTAGTCCATCCAGTTGTTTTAGTCTTCTTTTTTTAATAATGGACCAAATGACATGACATTGCCATGTCCACATAATTTACAACATTATTATGCAGTATTTCCTGGACTACCTTTTTCCATACTTTATGCATGGATCATTCAAAACGGAACACAAGTTATTGTATTCTCCATGAAATAGATAGTGATAATTAAATACTATTCCAAAACATTAACAAGGCATACTTTTTGTTTGTTTTACTAATAAGTCAAGACTTTCATCACCAAATTGTAATTAGTTCATGCTTTTCAAAAAGTGGTATCTCACCAAACTCTATCACAAAAGGTGAACACCATTCCATGTACCATCTTTAAAAAATGGTATATCCTTTTTATGTTCTTCAAAACTGTTATTTTAACTAAAAAATAGACTGTGATTAATAACACACCTGTCCACCGGATAAAAGCAACACATTCTTCAAAACTGTTATTTTAACTAAAAAATAGACTGTGATTAACAACACACCTGTCCACCGGATAAAAGCAACACACCCAACTTCCCATCTGATATGGCCTTTAATCCCATTTTCCACCACCTCTCTCTTTCTTCAATTGTCCGCTCCTCTACCATTGATACATTGCTCTCTGGCACAGGCTCTATCACCGCTGCCGGAAGCCCTAAAATCACAAAATTTCATATGAGCGAAAAAGAGTCTTATTTGCATATGCATAAACAAATAGAAAGACGAAACCTTGTGACTGAAATGAACACCGAGTGATCCGATCCATCCTTGGAAGATCTATGCTCTGCAATAAATTAGTTGTACATCAAAGCATAGAATTGAATAAACTGAAAGAAAAGCATATCTTAAAGAACAAATAATAACGGCTACTTCGGTCAGTGAATAAATCATACTTCCTCCAACAAATATGAATTATTCGCCTCCACAATCCACACAACCACGAAACTGTTTCAAAGCTGCAGTTCTTTATTTCGAAAATCGACAATAAAGCAAACTTACCTAATCATCTATACTTCGTTTATAATGATTAAAAAGAACAGGCTACTAGCAGAAACACGAATCAATTAAAACTGCAAAGATTTTTTTTGCATAGGAGATCTAAAAGTAAATTGACCTCGATGTCCTTGACGAGAAGTTCGCGTTCTTCAGGAGAGAGCTCATCCCAGAGGGCAAAAGCGTCTTCTTGTCCATAATCTTTGAGCCTCTCGAGCAGCGTCTGTGGTGGAGACGACGTCGCATTGTTATCCATCACAGGCTCCATCATTCTGTAATCTTCCGACTCCAGATCTTCTCTAGATCTACACTTATAAGTTGTTGTATATATAGAGCGAGATATTGAGTTCTGGTGTGAGAGAAAGAGCAAGCGGTCAGTTGGTGGTTATATGGAGAAACAGTGGCGAAGAAGACAAGAATGTTCGAGGCGAAATGACGAATATAACCATGATGATTCACCTGACATTGGTTTCTCATTCGGGGATAATCTAGGGAATTTCTTATATTGGACCAAACGAGCTGTTATGCTGTTTTAGTCAAGGTACTGCGTCACTACTGCCTTTTATTTATTTTCATTTTTATTTCTATTTCGGTATTCCGATCTCGGTCGATTACTTTCAACGTCAAAATACTCAAGCAAATAATTACCAACTCTTTATCGACCTCCCGATCGATAAGAGCAAACGTGTCCTCTATTATCCGTTGTTGTCGATTGCTTTCAACATCAAAATTCTCAAGTCCATGTTTATCAACTCTTCATCGATCTTCAAATCTCTTATAAAATGACAGAAATTGAGTCCCCCCTTCCTAACCTCTAGGGGGAGGGGCGTCATTCATGAATGAGAGAAGTCGAAGCATCTTAAATTTTATAAGAGATATTAAGATTGTAATCGTAGAAGGATTTGTTCGTGATTTATGATAAATATACCATGCACCTAATTCTCCCAATAAATTATGATTTTTAATTGTTGTTGATGTTTGTTGCTTCCAAATTGACGCTTCAACTTCATTCTAAGTGATGTCAAGTCATAGGAATATTTACAAATTGATCGGTCAAGATTTGAACTTAAATTTTTTTTTTTTTTTTTTTTTTGACATTTTGTGAAATCGTCTTATTTAAAAATTAAAATTATAAAAGAGAAAAGATGTATTTATTTATTTATTTAAATACTGTATTCGACAATTTGCGCGTAACAGAAATTTCGAATAAATAGTAAATTATTGGCATAGCCATGCAATTAAAATGTTATCTTCTTCAATCATTAATATTGTAGATGAAGTAATTAAAAAATAATAATAATAACTTGGTGTTTGGCAATCGCTCGACACTTTTTGTAATGTGGTTACTTTACTTGCTTTAATAAATACTTACAAATGGTGGTTGAATTATTACAGAATTATTGATGTGTCCTTCCTTCCTATAATTGCCAAACCTCATTAGATAAGATCCTAAACCCAAAATGCTAATCTGATAATACCTTTTTCCATGTGAACTCATCAAATAAACAATAATCGTATAATAAGTTCATGTTTGATCCACATTTTCAAAAATTCATTTTTAATCACAATTTTATGCGATCCACAACTTTAATAAATTTTTCACTCACTTCATCAACTTTAATCAAAATTTTCTAAAAATTCGATTTTTGTCTAATGTGCTACCGTGAGTACCTTGATTAGGTGATTGTTAGTTAGATAAGTACTATGCAAATTGAATGAACTTGATTTTGAGTGCAAGTCACTTAAAATATTTATACAATCAGGGGCAGACCCGGGGGTCACGCGACCCTCAACTTTTGAGTTTTTTTTGGTTTTTTTATAAATTCATGTTTGGTATCGATTGAAATTTAAATTTTAATCTAAATCAAAGTTAGCAATTAATTTCTATAACATATTCATGGAATTCATAACCGTTTTAACTTTTATCAAAATTTACTAAAATTTTAATTTTAATCTCTACCAAACAGAGACATCATAATAAATTTGAATTTTTCTCTTTTTCTTGCTCTCTGTTACTCTTTTCCTATCGTCTTTTAACAAAATCTTAATACTTTTAATTTTTAAAAACTTGTATATAATTTCTATACAAATTATCACATTTACTACAAATTTTCGCTTTCCAATCAAATTTTCAAGTAATTAGAACCTAAATTTGCATTTTTTTTTTCCTATTAAACTGTGTATATAGGATGCATCTGAACTCATTATATCTAATTTGACTTATATTTAACGAATTGTATTTATTTGATTGATTATTAGTATTGAATATTAGTTATATGTCTTTCTTTTCGATTACTTAAAATAATTGTTTGTATCAAATGCATTATAAGATCTTTAAACGTAAATATGCATTTTCTCGTGATAAACAAAACATTGATAAAACGACTCTTCCAAATCAAATGGATGAAAATGATTAGCAAAATATTAATGAAGAAATATTTTTTAAATGTAAATTTGCAATGTCTCGAATCAAGTATGAATTATTCAAAAATCAAGAACAAAATATTCGATTTGTATAAGGTTTGATTGTGCCCCTAACTCAAAATATTTGGTATACAGTTAATTTTCAGTGAATACGACTTTGAATTAAATGGAAAAACAAAAATGATATAGGTGCAGCTGGCACATGCCGTATGGGTAAATCCTACAGCAAATAAACAAAACAAGATTTTTCTATTAATAAAATTAGATCTGATAATCTGAATTAGAACACCAAGTCACTGAAATTGCAGGAACTAGAATAACAAATTTTGTTTGCAGCTGAGGCATAAAACATGTATTAAACCATGATTCATTTGTAGAGTGCTTCCATGGTATCCCTCAAACGTTCAACATCGGCACCAATAACTTCCGAGGCCTTTTTACCATTCTGAAAGAAGTGTAGAGTAGGCTGCATCCAAGGAAAACACAATAGTGAAACATCGTTAATCATGTGAGACGTGCATCAAGAAGAACACTTGCTCTTAATTTTGCCACATAGCATTTCATAAATTACAGCCTATGCTCTTGCGTTCAAATTACAAATGATTCTTCTGAATTGCCTTCCAACACAATAAATCCCATCGCTTTCACTTCTTGAGATTTATCTTATGACAAGATTTATACTTCAAATTAGTACACCTACAGAACTTTAATTTAACAATACAGAAGCAAGTTTCTTATATGTAATAAACTCATGGCCGGCTATCTAAATCATTATGTTGCCACTACTTCTGAATTCTGATACATCACTAAACCTAGATAAAGATCCTTTAATATTTGATACATCACTACATCTAGAGAAAGATCCAATGAAATCAAATCTGTTGTGGCTAAATTAATTTTGATCCAACTCTCCCATTTCCAAGTTAGTAGAGATTTTCTTAGGTCACATCTCGACAACCTATATCACCATTCTCTTGATTTATTCTTCATATGGTTCCCCCTCGACATATTGACATATTAGAGTTACAATAATGGGTTTTATATCCACAGGTGGGCAGGGGGGAAGAAAAGAAAATGGGTTTTTAGCCTTACACAAGGTGAAGGGGGTGAGTGTCGACATGCATGTATAATACTCAAACATAACAACAAGAAAGTAGCTTTACCACGGAATGGATATTCAACTTGCTTAAAGCATTTCCAAGCCCTTCCTGCATATTTTCAGCAGTTTATGGTTACCAAGGGAAGTAAGCCAATTCTCAGAAACACTACTCAAAGACTTGGAAAGGAACCAATTGAGTCCGAAAGTTTTACTTACCTTATCTATGTCAATTTTATATGTGGTGACATGAGGGTATTTCTCACTCAATTGTCCAATGATAGGAGATAACAACCTGCCTGAAAAGTATCAAGAACATTGTGAATTCAAGAAAAAAAAGGTTATTAATCAATTCCTACTTCATGTCTCAAATGAGATTAGGATACAAGCCAGAAGACATGCTCCTGAACTTACAGGGTCCACACCAAACTGCTGTAAAGTAAAATATTGCTGGCAGCGATTCATCTGAGACCAAAATTTCAACTACAGTAAGCAGTGAAATTATGCAAAATATACCAGTAAATTATAGGCTAATACCAGTTAATAAAAGTAAACAGTACATGTAATACATGTATACCTTGGACTTTCCGAAGTGAATCATTAAACTGCTCTTCAGACTCAATCAAGACGATATTGCTCGGATCTGTAGTTGAAAGTGCAAAAAGTACTAATCTTTCTGAATATCAAAGTTACATGCCAATAGAGAATTGGTGCTCAACAATAAATGATTACTCTTCTAGTTTGAGTAATACAATCACTATCATCCAGGACTTATCTAAAATCATGTATCTATTGCACTTGTGAGTGACCAACCAAAGCAATTTAATCAATATTCTCAATCATTTAGTTTTCACTTCATAACGACTAAGATCATGATCAAATGTGAGAATTTAGGATATTTTCAGCTGATGATTTATTAACGATTTCGCATCCCTTTTCACGATACTTAGTAATGCACGAGTTAAAAAATGAACTTCCACAAACCAACACGAATTTCTCATTTCTTATCAACCAATCTATTTCCAAGTCCTCACCAGTCAGCACATTATTTTCTTTATTTCAACATAAATATATGAAGAATCTTACTACAAGTACATCAAGATTTACATAATGGATTACATTATGCCACATGGCACTCTACAATTTACAAGTTTAAAACACAATCAACTTTTTCATCAAATCTTTAACTCTATGTCATATCATGTAATCCATTATGTACAAGTAGCAAAACAACTATATAAAACAGTCACCAACTACCCTTCCCAAAAAATTGGCCCTAGCATGACATAAGTATAGAATACAAACATTTAAGAACCTTACTCTTGCGTTAAATATAGATGTGGTTAGCATCCCAACCGTAACTTTTCATTTTAACGGAGCTTCACCCACAATGAGTTCACTCATCATTAGGGACTCCCTTTGGCTAAATGAGTAGAAACAATGGAAAATTATTTCAAAATTTTCCACAAAATTGATTGTTAATACTGATTTAGAGATATGCCATGTCAATTCTTTTATATATTTTACCAAGATACAATAATTTGGCATGATTACATAAATTCGTTTTATAATTTCATTTCAGACATATTAGCAGCAGCTTTTCTCTATCTCTTTCTTCTTTTGTTTTTTTTTATTGGGTTGTGGGAGACATTTAGCACCAATTTATTGAACTTAAATCACATTATTTTTCTAGTTTCACAAACTAACGTTCACAAATGAAGAACTAAAATCAGATTTTCTCTACAGAGTTTTACCAAATTCAGTTATGTATCATTTGCCCAAATATTCATCATACTTGTACATATAAATAATATCAATTTGTCAATCCTTTACTGTATTAAATAACCCAATTTACACTCATATAAACGCACACATATAGAAAGGAAGAGACCTGATGAAGCTGAAGAGGAGTAGCTTCGGGAATGACTATAAACATGGAACGACTGTAAATTTGAATTGGAAGTAAGGGCAATTTGGGAAGCGAATAGTGGGTTGGGCTGAACATCGGCGAGAGTGAAGTACGAAACGGTGGCTGCGGAGGATAGCATTAGGTTTTCGCCAATCGAAGATGACCCAGCAGCCAGCAACGGGGTTCTACCGCTGCGTGTTAAACGACGCAGTATCACGCCCACTCCCTTCATTTTCTTCTCCCCTCTGAACTTCCAAGAGGGTTTTTGCTTTTCTTCGGGTAGTAATAAAAGAATAATGCTATTTGTACCCAAACTTAGCAATTTTCTTGGGCTTTAATCTGCTATAGTCATGCAGATATTCATATGATACGAACGAGTTATTTTACCAATAGTTACTGAAGTTTGGGTATGATTTCAAGTTGGTCACTGAAGTTTATAACAATCTACTAGTGGCACTCGGTTAGAAAAATTGAACATATTATCTTATGCGGCAGGTGAACTATTTTAATAATCAAGCGACTAATGGTGAAATCATTATAAATTTCAGTGACTAAGTTGATTAGAATATTTGAGTAACCAACTTGAATCTTCGTATGAACTTCATTGACAATCAGTACAATTAACTCAAGAAGAAAACACAATCACTAACAATTGAGAGAAAAATCACTACTACAAGCCATATATCAGTCAAAAGATCCATATTTTGTATGCTAATTAAAAAAGATTAAAAAAAAATACAATTGTGTTTCTAATCAAAATGTACAAACTCCTACACCTCTAATTAATGATTATGTAGAATCCAACCACTGTGTAATACTTGATAAGATTCATTATCGCGGATCAGGTCGAGCTAAAAAGGTAACCCGACAGAAAAACTTGGCAACCAACATTTCGCCTGCACTTCACACTTGGAATCTTAAAGGACGGGTGTTTGTGAGAAAACTTGTTTATGCAATTAAGCGAGATTCATCGCTATCTGGCACCACAATGTCGAGCCTCATCATTGGCTTGTACTTATAAGGTATTCGAGCACCCACCTGCATACACAATTCAACAACGGCTGGAGCCTTTCCATAGAACCTCTTGAGTGCACTTTTCAGTGGAGGCCCTTTGGGATTTTCAACATGCCATACATAATTCGGGGGGAACACTTCATCGACTGTGGCATCTTGCCAGCCATGCTTTCCATCTCTCCATTGGTGCTTAAATTCACCACAAAGCTTAGCATTATGCCCCCTGGGACCCACGTGAACCTCTGAGCAGTATCCACATGCCTTCACTGTGTACTTCTTCATTAACTTCCGCAAGCCCCATTTGACTTTCTCGTATGCGTTGATAGTCTCCTGTGCAATTGTAGGCACCTCTGACTCTACCGGTGGAAGAAAGCGCTCTAGAGCTCGATGAGTGTCGAGGTCCACAATTGACGACCCTGAATTACCAAAGCTGTGAGGTCCAGGTTCCTCGACAATTCCACCTATATCAATTATTTTCTTCCCAATCATTCGAATGGGTTCTGTCCTCCTCCTTGATGGATATTCTTGTAACTCAACGCCAGCTTGGATGCAGAGTTCGACAATTGCGGGAATTCTCTCATAGTTAAACCGAGTCTCGTGCTTAATGCGCCGACCAAATGGATCGTACATATGATATGACTCAATGGGGATAAGTACATCATTAATAGAACCCTTCACCCACGAGTGAAAACTTCGGCGGCTTCCACTGGTTGGGCCAGAACAATCTTGAATGTCATGTCCACTTTCGGCAATGTGGATTTCAGAGCACTCACTGCAAAAAAAAAAATAAATAAATAAATAAAGCACTAGATAATTACTTCCCCTTGCCCGATACATCTACTATTGATCAATAAATGAAAGCAAAATGAGAAAAGCAGTACAAGTAAAGAAAACTCCTCTACTTTACGAGTTACCTACAAGCGTGGATGGGAATAACGTGCAAGAGCTGTGCAAGTCCTCTAATTAAAATTTTCCAAGCATCAAGTACTTCATAAGCAACCGGAATAAGATCAGGTACAAGAAGTCCATTTTTTGGAGGCTCAAGAGGCTTCTCTATTCCCTTTTCTGCAAGCTTCTTATCAGCTCTGGCAGCCTCCTGAATCTTCTTTAGAGGTATGGGATAGGGCTTCTTCTTTTTCTTGGGCAGTATTGGAGGAAGATCTATATTTTGAGGTACTGCATCATGTTTCTTCTTGTTGTAACCTCCTCGAGCTTGTCTCCTATCAGTGCAAAATAAGGTCCTTGGTCTACCTGTTGTGGTGCGGGCATCCTCATATAAATGGCCAAACTGCAATTGAAATCCAAATTGTCAACCTCCATAGCAACTACCCTTAAAACATAAAAACGGCATCAAAAAGTATATTTCTAGGCATTTTAAGTCAAGGCAAGGCCAAGACTTCAGAGCATGAACACTTACCACATGGTTCAAAGTTAGACAGAGAAAAAATTTCAGTATATATGAGAACTGCATGTAAGGATTTAATTCAGATACAAGAAACTAAATGCAAGTATCTAATTCAGATTCAAGAAAGGGAATAAAAGGGCAACCTCAGACAAGGTAGAGATAAAATTCTCTTGTAAAACAAATGAGAAGGGATTTTGTCAAAAGAACCAACTGTCAATTTCCTTGTTCACTTGCAAAAGACTCATTCGCGCACATCAAACCCGGAGGCTGATGGTGCTAGTGCTAGTGCTAGAAACACAATGAAAAGAGAATGCATCGAAAGTATCCTAATCTATGGCTTTATGGACTTAAATATGAAAGCAATACAACTATAGATACCCTTTGATTTAGAAAGTAGCAATTTTGAGAGCCTCCTATGAACTTAATGTCCAATTTGACAACAATTGTCTCCCCTTCTCGAAATCCAGAAGAGGGAGATTATACATATGATTCTATTATACTTATATCTGCTATGTAGCTTGTTTTCACCAAAGAAAATATATAAAAATGAAGAAACATAAATATGATGAGGTGGGCAAAAGAATGGAAAATACTAAATAGTGAAATATACCTTTAACCCATAAAAATACGACATTGAAACCGGTAGCTGGTGCATCTTAAACTCTATGGTGCCAAGAAAAGCACCTGAAAAGAAAGATAAAAGCATCAAACAACCTGGAGTAGAATGTTACTTTATATTTAAGTTCACTAGAAATTAAAATGGACACACAAGCTGATACTGAGTTATTGTGTTGCTATCATCATCTCAAGCACCATAATGCATACAACACAAACAAAGAAAGTATTGTTCCCAATATGTACGTCCTTTTATAGTTGCTGTTGAGATATTCAAGGAATACGATAGATGCATGTGTTGGCTGGAAAAATTCATTCGATTATATCATTATGGGCATATGACCATAGGTACTCAGTAGAATAAAATTAATAGAAGGAAATTTATTGTACCTACCCTTAATTGAAGGACTCCATGAAGCGAAAACTGCTGCTGGAAACTGTTGAAGCATTTATCTCAATAATGTCCTGTAGAGTTTTCCTTCTCCCCCAAGAGAAACCAAATTCCGGAATCTGAGATTTGAAATTACAAATTGATAAACTGAGTTGAGCAGTTATGTTCTGAAAACTGCAATTAACACCCAAGCTGAAATCCATTAAGAGAAGAACAAAGCAAGAAACAATTTGACGAGATAACTTTTTACCCTAAGGCAGGAAACAATTGCATCAATTTTGTAGCAAAAATTCCCCTCAGGGCACTGAAATGAGTAGCCGGCCGTAAACCTCAAGGCCACGTGAGATTAGTCGAGGTGCGCGCAAGCTAGCCCGGATATTCACGGTTATCCAAAAAAAAAATTGTAGCAAAAATATATAGAAGGTAATCAAAAAACCAGAATGTTATATATAAGTCAAAACCCACACCAATATGGTGAACATAGACTTGATTAAGTTGAAATCGACTCTCATATGTTCCTCTTTCTTTTTACCAAATCAACACACGGGGAAGCGTTGAGGAGTGGGGAAGGGAATGCAGTGGTGTTGCTGGTTGGTGTGGAGGTGAGGGTAGTGTTGCATTGGGGGCTGGGGTTGCACCTGGGCCAAGTTAGAGTCATCACTGAAATTCTCAAATTCTCAAAACTTCAGATAAACAACTTCCAGATAAAATAAAAGGCAAGTTTTTTGGTTAACAAAAACACCGGAATTCGAGCATAAATTTCATATTGCTTTTCACGAAAGAAATAACATTTCCAAAAACATGAACCCTGTATATTAACTAAAAATGAGAAAAGGAAAAGCCCAATACAAAAATAGAACTGGGAACATCAGATAGATGAAATCTACTAATTACACCATTACATAAGAATCATCTCACAAGTGAAGTAGCCATAGTAGAATAATTAAAACAATAAAAAAAAAAATCAAACCTCTTGCAGTTCCAAGTATTCGTTTAACAGTGTCTGATGTTTAACCTTTACTCGTCAATGGCAAGGAAACAAGGAAAAGGAAGAGGAAGAGGAAGAGGACTTTTAATTGAAAAAGGACGGTAGCGGTGCAGGGAGGTGGAGGGATAGGGCTGGCGGGTGCGATGGAGGAGTAGAAATTGAGGAAGGATAAAAAATAAAAATAAAATCGGAATTTAAACAAATTTAAGGTTAGAGTATGTTTGTTTAGGATTAAAATCTGATTTTAATCTAAATCAAAGTCAAACAGTCAATATTAATCACATATTCACATCTTTCATAGGTCCCACGACTTTTCAACCACACATTTCAAAAACTTCTATCACAATCTACTAAAAATCTAATTTCCATTTCCACCAAACACCTCTTAATATCAAAAGAAAGTGTATGTAAATGTTATATTTTCCTCAATTCGTGCTTGTGGATTGCATATTTTACCTCACAGGAAAATAAGTAATTAAAAGTTCATTTTCCAGAGAAATAACATCAATGAACTTTTTCTATTGATTACTATTCGTCTCATACTTATAGTTTGAGGTAGGTCTATCAATTTGACTCGTCAACTCGATCAACTAGGAAAATCCCGAGCGGACCTGGCTCCTGACTCGATAGAATCAAGCCGAGGTTCGAGCTGAGCCCATTTTGGAGCAACGGCCAGTGAGCAAATTCATAAAAAAATTAGAAAATTCAAACTTTAGTAGCTACATGTAGTTGCCTGCAATTTAAGCACTACTGGCTGCAATACAAAGACATCAAGCAGCGATACCTGCAATTTAAAAAAATAAAAATCACGAGCCGACCAGGCTCGGGCAAGAAAAAAAAAAAAAATTCGAACTATTTTTACTCAAGATAAGCCTGGGCTTTGAATTTCGACTAGTTGACATTCCTAATTTGAGGTAAAAGTTTGTTCTCGATTTTTTTAAAAGGGATGAATAATGAATTGATCTTTAACATTTAGTTATTGTTGTTGCAACGTTAAATTTCGAAAATAAAATCATCGTGTACTTTTGTTAATAACTTCCTACTTTGTTTAATTGACAAACTCTAGAAACAGGTATGAAAAGGAAAACTTGCATTTTTTTGTCTTCGGCCTTTGAAGAAATGTAATAGTTTACCATCACAATTCATCCAAACTTTTTAATTACACATTAAAATTTTCATTATCATTCTTTTACTTATTTTCAACCACACATTCTTCAATAAAATAATATTTTCCATCACATCAATAACTTTTCCTTCTTTTTCAACCACAAATTCTCAACCAATCTACTATTCCAGAATACATTCTTCCAAAATAATGTGGCTCTAACACACCAATCAAGTGATATATTTGCCATTCTATTTAGGACATGTTTGAACCCCATTTTTTTATATATAGAATACAGGAAGCTTTTTGTACACTCCCAAAAATACACAATCAAAGATGAATGTTCAAGGTCTTGTTCATTATATAAGGTCGTCCAATTAATGGGCTGAAAAATTGAACAAACGTAATCACTTATTGATACGGGCTCAATATTATACCTAAACATTGATGGGTGAAATCCAAGTATATACAAGAAGTAGAATCCCATTATAAACAGACGAGATTAAAAAAATTATGAGTCACATCTTACATTGATAATTCAAATATGACTAAAGGGCAGGATAAAGCTCACGAACCGTTGTCCAATACAAACTAATCCTGATAACAACAGGACTTCCTAGTCCCAATATACTCCTATATAAATCAAGTAACAAAGTAAAGATAGGAGTCAGGAGAAGTTTATTTCATTCAGCAAAATTTCAATTTCACTCCGAGAGCTACATATTATAAATCCCAACTAAAGATATTCTCGAACGGGGATTAACAATAATTGAAGTCAAGGGCCTACAAATTAACCACACGAGAGAAAACAAATGTTATGCGCAGTATGAGAACTTATCACTCTAAAATAAAAGAAAAAAAAACGAGCCTAAGAGAATCCGACTGTGTTTGATACACATTGTGGAGAAAAGAATGCTTTTTTTTTTTAAGTGATGTGATGGAAAATATGTGGTTAAAAAATAAATAAAAGTTTTAAATTTACATGTAATATTATTTTTATTAATGAACGTGTGATTGAAAATTAGTAGAAGAATAATGCATTTTTCAAGAACGTGGATGAAACAGGGCTCAGACTTTGTTTGAGCTTTATTTTTTGGAATGAATAATGATTTTTTTTTTAATGTGTAGTTAAAAAGTAAAAAAAAAAATTGATTTTACGTATAAAATTATTTTATTGAGAAAATATATAATTTAAAATGAATTTAAAGAAAAATAAATTTTTAAAGAGGAGAGGGGAGGAGAGGGTTAGGAGGGCTAAAACCCGTTTTTGGCTCAAATTGAGGCGTGAACGGAAGGACAAGATCATTAAGGTCGCCATCTTGACATCAACATGACGTGGCCATTTATGGTGCAGCAACCTTTGGTTTCCCAATTTGCTTCTTATTAAGCTAAAATTAGGTCATTGACGTTTCACCAACAATTAATCTGGTTTAGCTCACCTGTCCAACCAATACTGACGTGACATATACTTGAATTTAATTGTACTTTTATTTTTATTTTTATTTTGTTGATAAATATGGTTTTGATCACCTAATACTAATAAGTAATAATAAGCTACAACTACTTCAAGTAAAAAGTCAAATAGTACGCCTAACATTTTGTACATAGTATATAGTACTTCGTATATTTGAACAATCGGAGCACCAAATTTCGTTTGGAAACTTGTTTTATGAATTTCGATAATAAATTTGTCGATCGCATTATTACCTAATTTAATGAATGTGAATAACAACGCAGAGATCATGAACCGTACTCATATTTCACGTTCAACTAAAGTCCAGTTTGGACTATAACTAGGTCTGCAGATGCTCCTAACTAAAGCAAATAGATTCAAAAGACTTTATGTAACGACAATATGAAATATAAATGATTTAGAACATCTCAAAAATGCTTTTTATTAACCTAATTCTTTTTACTTTAGGGAGCCAATATTATGTCAAATAATATAAAGCTTAAGTATTTGAGAATGATTGAATTTTATTAACACTCGGGAATAAGTTAATAATGAACCTCACGTTTTTATAAAAGTAACACGTCCAACATGCACGATTAAGAAATATATTATTAAACTTGTGCTAGTGATAAAAGGATAAATCTTCGTATGATTGAGGTAGTTTAAGGTTTCCAAATCAGAAAATCACTGCAAAGTGATTGATGGATTACAACCTTAATATGTCTATGGTAATTGGTGGAAGTTTTCATAAATTGCAATTCCACGCATGAAAATCTTCTCCTAGTTTAGGACACAGCACGTTTCTTTAATAATGGTCACTTTATCTTTGTCACCTTTGTCCCACTATAGTGGAAATGCAGTCATCTTTCCAACAAAAAAAAAAAAAATCCACTAATATGTTGGCTTTAATGCAATGACCCCCTCTTATATTACGGACCCGTTTGGTAGAACTTTTAAAAAGTTTTTGGAAATAAAAAATTTACTTTCGAACGTAATTGAATAATACATTGAAAGCGTTTTGTTCGACTAGAAAAACTTTTAGATGAAGTCATTTTTTCATGAAATCCTTCTACCAAAAACAGAAGTCTAGTCAAACAACACTACCTAATTTTTTGAATAATGTTATTCATTTCCAGTGAAGTTGTAACCTCAATCTATGTGGCTCTAAATAATAGGTTAAGTGAAAGATAAAATTAAATGACTTATTTAATTTCACGTATCATTTAATGTTACATTAATGTCACCTTGATTGAGGTTGTAACCCCATTGAGGATGAATATCATTACTCTAATTTTTTACGTTGATATTATTGTTTATTAGATTTTCAACTCATTGCTTTTTTGGCCTAACTGCTTATCCATTAATTGGTCACTTAGGATTTGATGTGGACCAGCTAGTTATACTAACTCTTATCTTCCTAAACTGCCCTAACTAATCATGTTTTGATTAATTGATTTAATAATGAATAATGTTATTTAGCATCAATCTATGTAACATGTAGATGATATTAAATGATAAATTTAATTAAATGTGTTGTCATAAGATTCATTTAATTGAATTTATCGTGTGTTGCCACCTAAATTGGTGATGAATAACACCACTCGTTATAAAACTTAGGAAATTCACAACGCAAAATCTCATATATCTTAGTGGAATCTATTTAGTTTCGCAGTAATTTATGTATTATTTTAAAGATTTTATTAGATAGAACGGTAAGGGTACTGATCACGAGATAGTGACAACCTTCAACTTCATCGACTGAAAAACAATAAAATTGTTGAAGACAATATTGCTTCAAAAGTTCTAAATTTATGAGGACTCTGTCTGCAAATAGGAAGAGGGACTTCGATCGCAAATAGGAGAAAATGTGTAATTTCACGGACAGACGCTTAACCGTTGAATTTGTTTCCTTTGGATTGAAGAATGGTTCCAATGTTTCTTGGGTTTCCAATAAGGAACAAGGCAGGTCAAACATTAACATCCAAACATATAAAAATTTAATTGGGGAAGCTTCGTTTGGGAGTAACGTTGATTATTTGTTGGTCAATCCGTCAATGCGATCCGACGGCTGCCGTGTCCGCCACCACCAAACAATCATTACTTTTGTTTTTCCCTTATGCTGCTAAGATTTCATCAAATTACCCTTCTCTACAAATTTGGCTTCTAATTTATGCAATATGGTTTGAGGTACATTACAAGTTTTAACAAATTTGGAACTTTTAAGTCACTTTTAACGTGTCCGAAAATATATTTTTCAATTTATTTGAATTGAAAGAGCGATATTGGGTTCCACGTGATGAAATTTGACTTTAAACATTAAAATTGTACATGACAAAGTTGGAGGAAAAATCGTCAAATCGCTTAATATTTCTCTAATATTAACATGAAACTTACGTGCAATTTAATTGTCAACAATATCAATTTTCTTCTTATTATTAGAAAGTGAAAAATCTAGCTTTTGAATGTTGATAGCAGGTCTCGACAATGAATAATTTCACAAGTACAGAGAATTATTGACAGAAAAAATTATACAGGTGCTACTTTGGCAGCATTTGTATGATGTATTTTTTGCGTTTGTCGTGTCAAAAAACAATGAAAAATTATAAAATGTTCTTCTGTAAGAATTTTGTCAAATTTTTTCCGTACTTGTCGCAAAATTGCTCCACAATACCTAAAAGGTTGGAAAGTCCAAACTAATTTTAGAAAATAAAAATTGGGTTTATATTCTTGATTCTTGAATCCTCTTCCAAACGTAAAATATCAATATAGAAATTTCTGAATACAATTATACGTATAATTTCCGTAACTTATGATGAAATATTGATTTAAAAACTCAGTAATGAAATCCAAACAAGCACTAACTAAGAAAAGACTTGAATCTATTATCAATCCATCTAAAATGAATTACATTATGGCTAATCCAAAAATTACCAATACCCTAATTGGTTCAACCCTCAATTACGAAATTTCCAAATCGTTGACCAATTGAATTTCCGTCCTCACCAACTCTGTGTGCAGTACATCTAGTACAATCCCATAAACGTAATTACCTCTCTTTCTCGTGTCTTTTTTTGTCCAACCAAATAACTCTCTCTCCCACCTAGCTCTCCTTACAAATTCGCTGTCTTCGCTTTCGTCTAATTTCAGGTTTATTTAATGTTATATACAAAAAATTCTATATCTTTACATGCACATTAATAATATACATAATTCATTTTTCTTCAACCGATATCTATATTTCTGTGTACATATATATATTTTTTGGTTAATTGTGGTGGAAAAGAGGGGTTTGTGATGGGGCCACGTATGAAGGACCTACAACTGACAGCGTCGGCCGGCAAGGGATCTCCGGAATATGCTGGCGAGGAGGAGAGGCTTCTAGGCGGCGATGATATAGAGAATTATGGGAAAGTACCGGAGAAATTTAGAAGAATCCAGGTGAGCGTGACGGGGATGACGTGTGCAGCCTGCTCAAATTCCGTGGAATCAGCTCTTATGAGCATACCTGGCGTCGTCAAAGCCTCCGTCGCCTTGCTCCAGAATAAGGCTGATGTCACCTTTGATCCTATCTTAGTCAAGGTCTGGTCAAGTGTTCATTTTTTCCTTTTGTTGGATATATAAAATATGTTAAGCATATAGTGAATGCCTGCTGCGAATACGCTGTTTTCCTGTGCAATCAGTGGTTTTGAGTTGATCTTTTGCACTTTCGATTTACTGAAGCAGGATTGTCTCTTGATTCTGGATTTACTGAAGCTGAGTTTGTTGTTCAATTTTTTGGTGGTATTGCGTGTCAATTTTGAGTGAAAAGAGCAGAAGTGCGTTTGGTCTTATAAATGAATTCTGAAATTATGGGTAGATCAAAAGGTTGATGAATCTTCATTAACGAAGTCTGAATGGATTTGGCAGTGTCATTAATAATAACGAAGTTGGTCTTTTGAAATCCAGGATTGTAATTGGCATTTATGACTGCTCAACCGAGATTCCCGACATTGACATGAGCTAAATCAATTGAATTCTTTGTTGTTTGAGCTAAATGTACTATTTGGGAATTCTTTTTACTCTATATCTTCAGTCTTCACATTTGGTTGTAGGTAAAAGAAAAGAAAAAATCATCGAGGAAACTGTAGAAATATAATATCTTTTCCGTAAACTTATATTCACTTGTTTGTTTTAATATTTCCTTGTTTCATATATTTGTTACAAGCTTGAAGAGAATAAGTGAACGTGGTAAAAGGAGGTGCTATGACTAACTTCTGAAGTCCTGCCTCAAAAGCATCAATTGTTTACTTCTCATTTTCTGTCATTTGGTAAAAGACCTGATTCTGTGCAGATTATTGCTGGATATAGGAGTTAGTGGTTTAAAAATGTTTATGGCTTGCCATAGTACTTGAAGCTTGGAACATATTGATAAATTTTGATATGGATATAGAACTTGGTAAATTAAACTCAGAAGACTGACCATTTCCAAGATTATAACATACCAATCTCTTTTCGCATCTCTCCTAATGCACCATGTTTTCTTGATCAACTGATGAATTTATACGGATAGACATCGTATAGTATTTAATGATTCTCATTGAATTTTGTCTTCAGGAGAGAAATTGTGTGCAATTATTTCCTATTTGATCTGTGTGTCTAAGGTTGAAATGTTGATATTATTTTCTCCTGTATGAATATTTATGGAGATATTAATTTCTTCATTCTTTGCTGGAATTTCTGATTGAGTCGGGCTTGCTCCTCATTATCCACTTCTCTTCAATTGTATTATATTGTTAATGGTTTTAAATAGACTATAGCTTGTCTCTCATTTTGTTTCAGGATGAAGACATTACAAATGCAATAGAGGATGCAGGATTTGATGCAGATATCCTACCTGAACCAAATTCATCTAGTACTAAGCCACATGGAACCCGAGTAGGACAGTTCACAATAGGAGGAATGACGTGTGCAGCTTGTGTCAATTCTGTGGAAAGTATTCTAAGAAAGCTTCCGGGTGTGAAAAGGGCCACCGTTGCTTTGGCTACTTCATTAGGGGAAGTTGAATATGACCCAGCTGTTATCAGTAAAGATGAAATAGTAAATGCAATTGAAGATGCTGGTTTTGAAGCTTCATTTGTGCAGAGCAGTGAGGAGGACAAAATTATGCTAGGGGTTATAGGTATATCGAGTGAAATGGATATCCAGATGTTGGAAGGCATTCTTAGCAATTTAAAGGGAGTGAGGCAATTCTATTTTGACCACACATCAAGAGATTTAGAAGTTCATTTTGATCCAGAGCTTCTTGGTTCCAGATCCTTAATTGATGGAATTGAAAGTGAAAGCCATAGAAAATTCAAGTTTCTTGTCAAGAACCCTTATGCAAGAATGTCTTCTAAGGATCTAGAAGAATCTTCAAAGATGTTTCGACTTTTTACTGCCAGCTTGTTTCTCAGCGTAAGTTGTTGTTTTGTGGCGCATGATTGGTTTTATTTTTAATTTTATCAGGTCTGCTTTCCCTATTTTTTGAAAGTCTTAAGACATGTTATTTCTGCATATTCTGATATCAGTAGGAAGATGCTAAACGATATCTTAGGAAAAATATATTTTTAGTCCATCTTTTAACAAACAGCTTTTTCTGGTTTGCTTTCTAAATTGGAGATAAAAGAAAACAATTGATTATTGATGTAACATTACTTCTTACTGAACGCCATAAGAATGTGAAGTGCACTTCATTCCTTGTGTGAAGAGTCTTCTTCTTCTTTTTGTCTAACTCCTACTTAATTGACGACAGGTTCCTGTCCTGCTCATGCGTGTAGTCTGCCCTCGCATTCCTCTGTTATACTCTTTGATACTTTGGCAATGTGGCCCTTTCCAAATGGGTGACTGGCTGAAGTGGGCTTTGGTAACTGTTGTTCAATTTGGTGTTGGTAAGCGGTTTTATATTGCAGCTGGCAGAGCACTTAGAAATGGTTCAACAAACATGGATGTCTTGGTTGCATTGGGAACTTCAGTTTCATACTTCTACTCTGTTTATGCATTATTATATGGCGCTATCACAGGATTCTGGTCTCCAACGTACTTTGAAACGAGTGCAATGCTAATAACCTTTGTACTTTTGGGCAAGTACTTGGAGAGTCTTGCAAAGGGAAAGACATCAGATGCTATCAGAAAACTCGTGGAACTCACACCAGCAACTGCTACCTTGCTTGTGCAAGACAGAGGTATAGCTTTTCAAATGTAATTTTGGCGTACATGGGGAAGACAATGTGCTATTCTCAGAAGTTGCAACAAACAAATGTTATCGAAGAGAATTTGAATATGTTTTAACATTGCAGGTGGAAAAATTGTTGGAGAAAGAGAAATTGATGCCTTGCTGATTCAACCTGGTGATGTGTTGAAAGTACTTCCTGGTGCAAAGATGCCTGCTGATGGTTTAGTTGTTTGGGGTTCAAGCTACGTAAATGAGAGTATGGTTACTGGTGAATCCGTGCCTGTTTCAAAAGAGGTGGATTCATCAGTTATTGGAGGAACAATAAACTTGCATGGTTCCCTTCACATACAGGCAAACAAAGTAGGTTCTAACACAGTCTTGAGCCAGATTATATCTCTAGTTGAGACCGCACAGATGTCTAAAGCTCCCATTCAGAAGTTTGCAGACTTTGTGAGTTCTTCCCTCCTCTTTATCGCATTGTGCTTTGAGCTTTTGTCAACTTGTTCACTTAATTTTAGTTTTTAGAGGTACTTTACACTTCATCCACAGCAAGTTTTTTCTGTTAACAAAAAAAAAGACAAAAAAAAGACAAAAGGAAGAAAGACAAGAAATAAAATGCTTGCCAGCCTCCAACACATGTTATGTGCAGGCCCTATCATTTTCTTCTTGCTCCTCTATTAATTTGTATAAAGCAGCAATGTAGTTGTTTCACCAGCTTGGCTAAAGGTATGGAGTTATTCAGGAATATATCGACTATAACCAGATGAAAAGAGAAAAAAATTATAAATTCTCATATATAGTTTATTGGGTTAAGAATTATCTCTTTGCTTCGGAATTCTATTTTAACTTTGTGTTGGGACTTTTTGTCCCTTGCAGATTGCAAGCATTTTTGTCCCGGTGGTTATAACGCTGGCATTATTGACATTACTAGGATGGTAAGCTTAATTAAGGCAAGCTAATCAGATAATTTTTTAATGGTCATTGATTATCCAATGGACTAGGTTTGCTGAGTCTCTTTGAGTTTCCATCTATTCACAGGTATCTTGCTGGGGTTCTAGGAGCCTACCCCACTGAGTGGTTGCCAGGAAATAGCAATCATTTTGTTTTTGCCCTCATGTTTGCAATATCAGTTGTTGTAATCGCATGCCCATGTGCACTTGGATTGGCCACCCCAACTGCTGTCATGGTTGCAACAGGAGTTGGAGCAAATAATGGGGTGTTGATAAAGGGTGGAGATGCACTAGAGAGGGCACAGAAGATTAAGCATGTTGTATTTGATAAGACTGGCACCTTAACCCAAGGAAAAGCCACTGTTACAACTGCAAAAGTTTTCTCAGGAATGGATCGTGGCGAATTCCTTACATTGGTAGCATCAGCAGAGGTAAATTCCTTACTGAGGCTGAATTCAAGCTCAGTTACTTCTCTGGGCTTCTTATTGCTCTTTTAAGCAGCTAATAATGCTTTTGATTGATGAAAAGACCGTAACGGGAGCATAAAGGGAACTAAAAACCAAACTATCCTTCTCAGAAGTGTTTTTTTTCTTATTTAATCAGATTCCTCAATGAATATGCACTGATCTTTACTATCACACCTCTCTCCTTATTTTTTTACCATGAAACTAAAAGGATAAACCCGGAGAAAATATATCAATTGTAACAAGAAGCAGCTAAGCTTGGTTCTCCAATAGTGGAGATCTGATGCTTGCAAACCTATAGCAATAAGAAAAGTTCTTCTACTATTAGATATCAAATACTAGACTGTTCAGATTTTTAATAATATTGATATATTCAATAGAAATTCTCTTTCTTTTTCCCACTTCTAGCACCCACCCTATTATATGTTCTCAGTAAAAATCATATACCCTTCATAGCTTAATCTTCAAGCGCAGTGTGCCCTCCTGATAGCATGCCTTTCTAACAGGGTTATGGATTTGTTTCACAGTCAGCTGAATATCTATACCCTTTTTGATCATTAATTTAAGTTTGTAGCTGATTTCCATTTTAGCTGTTAACAGCGTAATACTAAAATAGGTCTACGATAACTTCGAAGTACAAATTATCTAAGCTTAATCACTCTTTACAGTGGTTGGCAATCTATGGCAACTCTCCTCTGGTCTGGGACTGGCTATGTAGAATCACAAAGTTATTTGACTATTGTCATTTAGGGGGAAAATGATTTATAAATTTCTGAAACTTATTTGTTTTTGTTTTTTTACCAGGCTAGCAGCGAACACCCTCTGGCTAAGGCAATTCTTGAATATGCCCGCCATTTCCATTTTCTTGACGAACCCAATGCTACCAAGGATGGTCAAAGCAACAGGATGGAGTCTAATTTCTTCGGATGGCTTCTTGACGTCTCGGATTTCACTGCTGTGCCTGGAAGAGGCGTGCACTGCTTTATAGATGGAAAACAGATTTTGGTGAGGTCTTGAGATAATTTTAGATGTCTTGATTATAAAGTGAAACAAGATTAGATTTAGTGTTAGTGAGAAGTTCTAAACCAAAAGAAATATACTTCATACTTCACATGGTTGTTCTCTGATGTTGTGTCCACTGAACAGGTTGGTAATCGAAAGTTGCTGACTGAAAATCAAGTGGCTATACCAAGCCATGTGGAGAAATTTGTTGTAGAGTTGGAAGAAAGTGCCAGGACTGGAATACTCGTGGCATATGATAACAATCTAATTGGTGTTCTTGGGGTCGCAGATCCATTGAAGAGGGAAGCTGCTGTTGTAGTAGAGGGTCTCATGAAAATTGGTGTGAATCCTATTATGGTTACTGGTGATAATTGGAGAACTGCTCAAGCTGTTGCTAAGGAGGTATATATCTTCTTTTCCCTTCTTTTGTGGTAATTGTGGTTTTCCCTGACCAGAAAAATGAGAGGAAGAAGAGAGGTGTGTGTATATACAGTTGAATAGACTTTTACTCCTCAATATCCAATAAATGGTCCTCCCTATAAGAATAATACAGGCCATCCACAATAAGATGAGAATTAAATCACATTAAGTAAATCAAATCTATTCTACAAGAGAAGGGAAAAAATCTCTGGTTACATCACCATCTATTTCATGAATGTTCCCCGCATTCGCCCCCTAAAGATCTGTGATAATGATGGTCTCTCCTAGTGTTTGAAACCATTAGAGATTGTCAAAAAACCAAATAATCCTTCCCATGAAAAGAGTCCTCACTAGTGTGAATTCCAATGCGTCCTTGACATCGCTAAACCAATTCTTGTGGAACTAAAGGTGCACAGAGCGTGAGAACATGGACTGAAAAGTACCTAAGGTGGCACATTCGGGTAGGATAGAACATGGATGCATCGGCATGACAAAATTGAAACACGGTACCTCAGGGCATTATTCTATATCCGTGCCTGTTGTAATGCATATTAAGGTTCATTATGCCCTTGTTTTGCATTGAAGTCTAAAATTTTATGAATTTACGACATATTAAGGACGTGCTTCAGCAAAGGTTTATGAGGTAGAAATTGGATCTGCTGTTGGTATGCAGGTTGGCATTACAGATGTTAGGGCAGAAGTGATGCCTGCAGGAAAAGCTGACGTTATTCATTCATTCCAGAAAGGTGGAAGTGTAGTTGCAATGGTGGGTGATGGAATCAACGACTCTCCTGCCTTGGCTGCTGCTGATGTGGGTATGGCAATTGGGGCAGGGACAGATATTGCAATAGAGGCTGCTGACTATGTTTTGATGAGGAATAACTTAGAAGATGTGATCACTGCTATTGATCTTTCAAGAAAGACCTTCACCCGCATACGCTTGAATTACATCTTTGCCATGGGTTACAATGTAGTTGCCATCCCTGTGGCTGCTGGGGTTTTATATCCTTCTCTCAAAATCAAGTTGCCGCCATGGGTAGCCGGTGCATGCATGGCCTTGTCATCTGTAACTGTTGTATGCTCATCTTTGCTGCTTAGGAGATACAGAAAACCGAGGCTTACCACTATACTTGAAATAACGGTAGAATAGTAGCAAATAAGAGAAAAGGAGGATTGAGTAGATGCTAGGTATTGCTTAGCCAGCCAATTGAAAGTTAACGATGGTGGCATGTGGAATGCCTCGTATCCCAATTTTTTGTAACCATTTGCTTATTTTTTTGTTTGTCGTTTATTGTTTAGTACCGGGTGTATTTGTTGAGCCCGCATGTTGTAATAGGTGTAAATGGATTTGTTGTATAATTTTTCATCTGTAAAAGTTCTGGTGAATAATTATCTTCTCTCTGTGTATGCCTGCTCGTGATTTCATTTTGCCATTTCCATACCGGATATGTCTAAATGAGGATTTGCTGGCATCCTATCTAGGACAGCTCTAATAATGTTAAATATCATTAAAATATGTAGGATTACCAATCTTAATAACTGCTCTCTTCTTTTTCAAAGGTGTATGATCGATAACTTCAACCAAATGGACAAAGTGGTTGGTAGGTTAGGTGTCTCCATCCAGCCCATCTTTTTTCTTGGAAAAGTCGTCAATTAATTAATCCTCATATTCCTCTTAGTTGACCATACCTATGCCCTTTCGTCATTATAAATGAAAATATTATCATATTAGAAAATAAATCGATGCACACGTGTCACAATATTACCAAGTCAAGTCTACATCGACATGATTGAATGAAGAGGTCCAACTATTGATAATAAACTCCCGACCTTTTGATGTAATAGCGATTATAGCCCTTACATTCTTTATTCCATGTCTCGAGCACGCAGGCAATGATTTGGCTAAGCACTGACTGGTGAAGGCACAGCCGGAGAGCACCAAACACGTGTGGCACGTGGGCTTCGTCATTAGTCACGTTTCTTCTCTAACAACATTTATAAATTATAAGGGTCTCTATTCATAACAAGGGTAACCCTTTTCTTTGTTTTTTTTAAAATGAAAATAAAGCATAATTATAAACATAGGAGTGAACTTGACCTAACCTCCAGGTAAATGAGAAAAAATAAACTTATCACATCCAGAGACATAAAGTAAAAGATAAAAGTTCAGGGTTTGTTCTCTTTACCATTTTCAAATCGTTTTCTGTTTTTGAATTTTTAAAACAGTGAAAACACGTTCTCTTTCTTATTTTCGAAAACGCGTTTTTGAAAACAAGTTAAAATTATACAAAGAAAACTCAAAACAACAAATTTTGGATGTTTTCAGTTATAACTTGGTCAAAATTTTCAAAACAATTTTTAGAAATGACAAAAAGAATACGTTTTCAACAATCTCAAAATAGACACTCAAAATGAATTCAAAACTAAAAACACAAAACTGAAATACAAAGAGAGTAACCCCTAAATAAATGTACTTCACAAGTCCTAAAAGAAGATAACTTTTCACATATAACTTCGCGCGCACACATTTCCAATGTAGTTATCATCCAAATCTCGTCGAAAACGTCACTCTGACGAATTGTAGAGTAAACATTGGGGAAGGGGTATTTATATTTGTTATCTTCAAATTGAAAAAACCCTTAAAAAGGATCAAATTTATTGACCCTTATAAAATTTGAAGATTGCTCTTATTTTGGAGTTGTGATTTGCTGCTCAATTTGATTGTCACATTATTAAGATTTTTACACTTCATTTTACAGTGGATGGTTTTTTTTTTTTGTTAACCAACTCTAATTCGCAAATAACAAGATATTAATAAGATCTAATATAACTCTCCCTTTCATCCTATTCCTCGATCCGTAGTAGGTCGGACCATGCACACAAGGCTCTAAACTGAAAGAGAAGAGGAGGGGGTGGGGTGGGGTGGGGGGGGGGGTGGGGAGCAATAATTGATGAGGGCAGCAAAGTTAGAATTCTTCTTATTATTTTCCAGTCAATAAAGCAACAGTTTCAAAGTTTGAAAATATTTGTACATTGCAAATAAAGATATCAGAAAATATGTTGGTCAAAACCACATGATTCATGACTCGTTCTTCCAAGAAAAAAACAAGTCATTCCCTACCTTGGAAGACAAGTCAAATATTTTTACTAAATGGAATTGACAGTCTCTTGCACTAATCAAATGGCCATTTGTTGACTGTGGAATTAGTGGCTCTGTCCTCTTATGTGAAGAATTAATTGCACGTGTACGTTTTACTGTTGAATTTAAGGTCCTTTTGCCTTGTACATTATGGGAAAAGGGCTAAATGTCAAGGTTTGAAATTCAGTTCTATTCATTTTGCGTCTGTTGTCGACAATATTGTTTGGACCGCAGCATTAGGCTTTCAAACAAAGTTGGCTACTAAAGATCCATTTTTGGATAGGAATTAGGATTGGAAAAATGGGCATTTTTCACTTTTCGCAAATTTCTATAGAATAATGCTATTTAATCTCACTGGAATTGTAATCCCATTTTTTCCACATTTCATTTAATCTATCACTCAACCCCACATAAATTGAGGTTATAATCTCAGTAGGACTATAAATAACACTATTTATTTCTATATATTTGTCATTTCTCGTGTTATTCGAAGAATTCAAATTCTCTGTACATAAGACAAGTTATATATATATATATATATATATATCATTTACCGGTATTTATTAGATCATTCATATATATCTTTTTATGAGTTCCTTGTGTGGGTCGTGCTAATCTTTTCTGCGCCGTTCCAATTTTATGATGTTGCTGAATTGACATTTCAATTGAAGCTAAGACTACTAATTTGGAGGGTTTTGTTCATTATTAATCCTTTTTAAAAATCTCATATATTAGTGATAATTAAACGTATGAGTGTAAAATAGTTGACCCCAAGAAATTTTATATTACTTTTTTTTGTTAGAAATTTATTTTCATGTGCAGAACATATCTATAACTCATGTACGTTTTAATTAGAACTTAAAAGAACTCATAATACCCATTTAATCAGATTAGAGTTTCCCTGGAAATACTAATAGCTTGTAAACTGGCACTAGAAAGTGTAAGAATTGTATAGTTTTTGTTTGTAATTTTGAGATGTGGAATTCCTAAAAATATTTAAAATATTATAGATTTTAATTGTAATGAATATTTAGAAAATATTAACATTGTTCAGACTTAGTGTTTTGGAAGCAAATAACCCTAAGTGCCGACCGCACCAATCTCCAATAACAAAAAAATAAAAAGGAAGCTCGCATGCTGTGGAAAATGAAAACTAAAGCGTAATAGTCATGACAATATACATACATACACACACACATACATACATACATATGTATGTATGTATGTATATATATATATATATATGAGTGTGTTTGAGCAAAGGTGTTGTATTATTCTTATGAACAGAAGCTAAAAAAGTCACCATGAGTGACCATTTCTCAAGCTCTTCTCTGTGGGAACAATGCTTCCAAGAATCGATACTGACGGATGACTTGGCCATACCTTGTCCCGAATTTTCCGATGCAACTATAGTGTCAGCTACTAATTTCGATATAAGCGAAACCCTATACACCCCTAAGTATAGTTTAGCGCTTTCGAGTAACAGCCAAGAAAACTCAAGTTCATCAGCGGGAAGTGATTTGAAGCCGAGAACTAGTCCGGTGACTCCAAAACGGAGGCGATCCAGAGCTTCGAAGCTAACTCCGACGACTTTTCTGAATGCCCACATAACAAATTTCCGAGCCCTGGTGCAGAAACACACTGGTAGCAGCCACACTGAGAAAGGGCCAATCACTTTGTGTTTTGGATCCTCATCTTCAGCGACTACTGATCATCAGCAGATCAATGGTCTGATTCCCACAACAAATAATTCATTGGAGGTCGTTTCTGGCTGGAGTTATCAAGCACAAGATCAGCAATACTTTTACGATAACCAGCATCAACAGTTCCAAGGCCAAGACCCATTTTCAATATGATTTGTCTCCTTCAACTTTATATATATTGTAGTACTTACTTTGTATGGTTCTTGAATTAACTAGCTACTTCATGCTTGTGAAATCAATCTCATCTTAGATTGTTCCTATGTTGATCTATAGTGATAAGGCTGATCAATTGTTGTCACCCCCGAACTCGACCGTGGACTTCAAATGTTGGAGGTCCCCTTCCCAGTTTGCATCCTCTTAAAAATATTATTGTTCAGTCGAAACAGGCTAATAATATTGGGTTAACGTGAAAGGTCTGAAACTCCCTCTTTCTGATTAGTATACCCTCGTCGGCATTTGTCACGTCGAGATTGGTTGCACGCCACACACACAAAATTGAGGAATTACATAAAATCAGGCATTTAAGTTTACAAATTCAAAAATCAGATCATAAAAAATCAGGTATTACATAATAATTATATATTAAATGTTTTCACCCAATTCAATTACAAACCCTAATTTTATTTCATTCTTCTCACTCTCACTCTCACTCTCACTCTCACTCTCACTCTCACTCTCCATCCCCATCTTCTTCATCTCATGCATTCCTCTCTATCAGACGTCGTCGCCACCACTTAAGTAGCATCGTTCTGCTTAATGAAGAGATCGGAGCCTCTGCGCGCGGAAGTGAAGGGGCGACGATCTGAAATCTTCTCTGATTTGTGGCGTTTCTCCGATGATTTTCTATGGCCCATGGTTTGCGTGGTAGTGACGGTGGTACGACTTGGAGATGGCGACCCTTTGAACGTCGCTACTCGTGGCTATGCTTGATTTCTTCTTCTTTTTTTTTTGTGTGTGGTTTTGATCGTTAGATGGTGTTTTGTGTGGAGGTGGGATGGTGTTTGTGTGATGGCGGACTTGATGATTTTGTTGGTGGGGTGGTGGTTTAGCTGGCGGTGACGACGGGGTTGGAGGTGGTGGTGGGTTTGTGGTGTGGTGATGCCTTTGTTGTTGTTGGCGATGGGGATGGTGGTGGATCTGGTGACGGCGACGGGGATGGGGATGGAGGTAGTGGTGGGTTTAAGATTTTTTTTTTTGTGGGATCTGGTGGTGACGTTATGGTGTTGGTGGTGGTGCTGTTATGGTGGCGGCGGTTATGGGGTTGGCGTTGGATCTGGTAGCGGCGACGGGGTGGTGGTTGTTGATGGGTGGAGATCCGATAGAATTGATTGTCATGGTTTTTGTTAGCGGTCGATTGGATTTGGTGGCGACGATTTTGTTGGTGGTGATTTCGTGGTGGCGGTGGTGCTATGTAGGTGGCGGCAATGTAGGTGGTGGTCGTATGTGATCCACTATTTGGTTACATGCAACCAACTGTTTAACTGTGACCTTAAAATTCCATAATTTGTGACCAACAAACTTGAAAATACTTGACTGATTGATAAATTGCGACCTATAATTTTTTATCTGTAATCAATAAAATAAACTGTGACCTTAAATTCGATAATTTGTGACCAACAAATTTGAAAATATGTGACTGATTGATAAACGGTGACTTATAATTTTTTTTTATCTGTGGCCAATAAAATAAAACGTGACATATAAAATTTTTGATTTGTGATTTCGAATTAATTTGTGATCAATTAATTATTTAATACGTGATCAATAAAAAAGATGTGATCTATGATTATGTACATATGACCATATATTATATAATTATGATTTTATTATATTTAATTAATAAAATATAATAAATAAATAAATAAATACCTGAATTTTGCATTAATTAAATTTAAAACCTGATTTTTTTAATTGTGTATAGTTAATGCCTTAATTGTGAGTTTTTCCCCGAGATAGAATTGTACATGTTTAATGCCTTAATTGTGAATTTTTCCCCAAAAAATTCTTTAATTTTGAAAGTCGATACTTTGACCAATGAATAATCAACGTTACTGATGTTGCAAAATTCTATCATCGAATTCGTCATGCAGGACGCAGATCAGATCAGCATCGGCTTCCTCTTCGTCTTGTTCTAACAATTTAGGGGGGACTGCATATTCATACATGAGCACCTTACCAATGGTGGATTAATCTTTATATTCATCTACAAATTACTACTATTTTTTCGAAGTTCCAATTATAGATATAGGTTTCACGCATGTTCATTATTTTTTTATGAACACACACACATATATTGTAGTGGTTGCTCGTTTTATAAGATGGGCTATGCGTTCGTTTGATATGACTTTTGAAAAGTTAAAAGTTGATTCTACGAAAAATCGTTTTTGAATCTATTTTAATAATTTGTTAGAAGTGCTTTGTTTGGCTAAAACAACTTTAAGAGAAAGTTGACTTACAGTCCCTTTATAATGCTATCGAATATTAAGTGTTCATGAGAAACCCACAAGGGTACGGAATTATTGACAAGTAATAGAATTGATGAGTTGAGAATATCGTCCCACAAGGAATAATTTTAATTCAAGTTTACTAACTTTTTATGAGATTCGAATTATGTAAACAAAAAAAGTTTGTTTTTATTTTATGTTAAATTATTCTAAAAAAGCGGTAAACATGTGATTTTTATTAATTTATGGATGATTGTATTGGATCTTGAATCCACCTACTGCTATCTATTTCAATTCATGATTTGTAATCTAATTCTGTTCATGTGTTCTTGAGAATCGATAAAGTTATGATATATAATTTTCTTTTTAAAGACAAATTAAATATATCCTAATCACAATCTGAATCTATTTCTAACCCGAATTCAAATTATTAGAATGCATTAAAATTTAGATTATCTATATGATTGCACATGTGATAAATGTTATTCTTAACATCTATTATACATATGTTAATTTTGTCGCGTTCTAAAATCATTGTGAGTTTTTCAACACTACAACAAGCAATTAATTATCTAATTAATGGCCAATCAATTAAATAATACAATGGATATGGAAAATTAATCAAGAAATAAATTAAATTATTAGTTTTGAATTAAAACAAATAAACAATAGGGTTCATCTTCATCTAATACAAAAATGGATCTAGCCAAACATGCTCATATATAAATTATAAGAAGAATAATAGAAAATATCGCTCGGATCATGAAATAATTCAAAGACGTTGATCTCCAATTTCAATGTTGAATTTTTCAAAATCTTGATATAATCAACCTTCAATTTCTTGCTAAGGCTTGATATCCTCTCAAAATACAGTAATTTGCTTTTTGTTCTTGATGAATTTGATGATAATATTTTGTATGAATAGGCAAGAGAGGTTTTTTTTCAATGTGTAAGCCTCGTTCTCTATTTATAAGAGTCAGAAAATATGTCAAAATCCTATCCAATTTGGGTTGCAAACGAGTTTGAATCGCCAAAAGAAACTAAAGATTCGTCTGCAAAAATAGCCTGCGCTTGCATACTGGTACAACTATCTAGCTCGCGCCGTAGAGCCAAATGGCTCTTGGGTTAGGGAAAACAGGGTACCGCGGACGCAAGTTCGCTTCAATTAGTCTCTAAGCAGCTTTCAGTTATTTGGTCATAACTTTCTCTAAAGATATCCGATTGAGGTGGTTCAAGATGCATTGAAAAGATAATTCAAAAGAATACAATTCTTCTAGAAATACAATGTTTTCAGTTCGAACGTTTGCTATACTAAAAATGGGTCTCAATTTGAGGCTTGGCCCACTTAGGGTGTCGGGATGGTACGTTCATTGTTGTGTCGACATTCCACTTCAATCATCGGCCGAGGCATATGAAGACTAATCCAACATAAACCGGTTTAACATCATTGCTCGGATTTATTGGGTATCAAAAAATCCAACAATAAGGCTGATCAATTGTTGTCACCCCCGAACTTGACCGTGGACTTCAAATGTTGGAAGTCCCCTTCCCAATTTGCATCCTCTTAAAAATATTATTGTTCAGTCGAAACAGGCTAATAATATTGGGTTAACGTGAAAGGTCTGAAACTCCCTCTTTCTGATTAGTATACCCTAGTCGGCATTTGTCACGTTGTGATTGGTTGCACGCCACACACACACCCAAAATTGAGGAATTACATAAAATCAGACATTTAAGTTTACAAATTCAAAAATCACATCATAAAAAATCAGGTATTACATAATAATTATATATTAAATGTTTTCACCCAATTCAATTACAAACTAAAGCCTACAGGTCAAACGTTTTTAAATTGAGGAAATTAAAACCAGGCATTTAAGTTTACATATTCAAAAATCAGATCTAAATTTTATTTAATAAAAAATCAGGTATTACATAATAATTATATATTAAATGTTTTCACCCAATTCAATTACAAACCCTAATTTTATTTCATTCTTCTCCCTCTCCCTCTCACTCTCCATCCCCATCTTCTTCATCTCATGCGTTCCTCTCTGTCAGACGTCGTCGCCACCACTTAAGTAGCATCGTTCTGCTTAATGAAGAGATCGAAGCCTCTGCGCGTGGAAGTGAAGGGGCAACGATCAGAAATCTTCTCTGATTTGTGGCGTTTCTCCTATGATTTTCTATGGCCCATGGTTTGAGTGGTAGCGACGGTGGTACGACTTGGAGATGGCGGCGCTTTGAACGTCGCAACTCGTGGCTATGCTTGATTTCTTTTTTTCTTTTTCTTTTCTTTTTTTTTTTTTGTGGTTTTGATCGTTGGATGGTGTTTTGTGTGGAGGTAGGATGGTGTTTGTGTGGTGGCGGACTTGATGATTTTGTTGGTCGGGTGGTGGCTTAGCTGGCGATGATGACGGGGTTGGAGGTGGTGGTGGGTTTGTGGTGTGGTGATGCCTTTGTTGTTGTTGGTGATGGGGATGATGGTGGATCTGGTGATGGCGATAGGGATGGAGGTGGTGGCGGGTTTAAGACTTTTTTTTGTGGGATCTGGTGGTGACGTTATGGTGTTGGTGCTGTTATGGTGGCGACGCGGCGACGGGGTAGTGGTTGTTGATGGGTGGAGATCTGACAGAGTTGATTGTCATGGTTTTTGTTAACGGTCAATTGGATTTGGTGGTGACCATTTTGTTGGTGGTGATGTCGTGG